GCTGATTGCCTCAACTTGGTCTACGATTTGCTAAAGCCTGTTTTGATGAAAGGCCACCATAAGAGCATGTTGAGTCACCAAGAGGTACAATTGCACTTGTCTTCAAGCATGTATTTTTGTTGCTTCTTTTGATATTGACCTTTATGTTTTGACTAGCTTATGCAGGTTTGGCTTGCTTTTTGTTTTTGTTTTTGTTTTTTCATTCTACTTGTCATTCTCTTCTAACAGAATGTCTAATACTTTTGGTTGTCACAGAACCGAATCTTAGGAGAAACTAAGGTTCAAATTCAACAGATTCTTGCTCTAGCTTTTGAGAATTACAAGTCCTTGGATGAGTCATCGCTTTCAGGTATTTTGGAGGTTTTTCGACCTGCAACTGGGCATGCTGCACCTGCATTGGAGCCTGCTGTGAAACTTTACACGCTCCTTCACGATATCTTGTCTCCCGAGGCTCAGACTGCTTTATGCCACCATTTCCAGGTTTGTGAAACTTTCAGTTTATTTAACAATTATTTCTGTAGTTGATATATCTATTTGCTACTCTAAGAGGTAGTGTGACTTGCCAGGTTGCCGCAAGAAAAAGATCAAGAAGGCACTTGGCTGAGACAGATGAATATGTTACCAACAACAGTGATGGAACTTTGATTGATACTTTGAGTATGACGACAGCGTACCAGAAAATGAAATCCTTGTGCCTTAACATTAGGAATGAAATCCTCACTGATATTGAGATCCATAATCAGCATATACTCCCCAGGTATGTACTTCAAACCGTCAAGTGGTACTTTCAAATATGGTTAATTATGCTGTAAAATTATTTGTCATTAGAGCCGTATCATTTTTTTATGCTTTTCTTAATTTTTGAACAAGTAGGCTGATCTTATATTAGCAAAATGATGTTCCTAAAAAGATATTAGCAAATGATGATAAAAATCTGTCATGCATATTGTAGGCGTCATTTGTGGATCACAGTACTGTAAGCCCACATGAATTCATATTTTGACATTGGATATTGAATTTGTGTTGCCACTTGATTTTTTTAGTATATGATACAGTTATGTCGAACTATCGTTAGCTTGAATAATGATTTCATGTGCATATATGCTCTGAACCATTGCAGTTATGAACCACTGAAGACAATCTCCTACTGTAGTGAACTTTGCCATATCTGCATAATTTCCTTGCCATAGTTAAATGCCTGCTTTCTGTTATTTGTTCCAAAACATGTAGGTTGGAATCGTTACTTCAGGTCATCCTTTATGTTTTCAGATTGCTTATCTCACAGCTTTTTCCTGGTGGTTTGTCCGGCTGTCTGATGTTGGATTGATAAGATTCTAATGCTTTAACTTTCATTGAACAGTTTCATAGACCTCCCACATCTGTCGTCATCAATATACAGCACAGAGCTGTGCAGTAGATTGCGTGCTTTCCTCATTGCATATCCCCCAACAGGTCCTTCACCTCCTGTAGCGGATCTTGTTATAGCCACAGCAGATCTTCAAAGGGACCTTGCCAGCTGGCACATCAGGTAATGTTAATTTTGTTGCTACTACTATTATTAAAACTTTATAATATTACTATGTTTGCATGGTTCTAACCCATTTTTTATTATCTCAGTTATGTTAAAGGTGGAGTGGATGCAAAAGAATTGTTCCACCTATACATTATGCTGTGGATTCAAAATAAACGCGGTTCTTTGCTTGAAGCATGCAAACTAGACAAGGTAAGTGTTATATATGTAATCCTTAAGCATGGATACTTTTGGATTATATGGAGATAAAACAATTTGATTACACTGATGTATCTCAAATGAGTCTGTATTCTATTTTGTGGGTGGTCATTAACATTTTTACCCCCACCGTTTTGGAGGACTATGTTGAAGGATGCTTTTGAAAGATTTCTGTAATTTTGTAAATTGGTGTATGTTTTAACGTTGCAGTTAAAAAAGGCATCTAAATGTTATGCACTTGCAGGTAAAATGGTCAGGAGTTAGGACACAACATTCCACGACTCCTTTTGTGGATGAAATGTATGATCGTCTGAAAGAAACTTTGAGTGACTATGAGATCATCATTTGCCGGTGGCCTGAATATGCCTGCATTCTGGAGAATGTAAGTCAGATTCCTTGTGTCTCAAAATCTTTATAATTACTTTCGTATTTTTCATCACCATCATCCATTATGATCCCAACAATTTATTGTTGGAACTGCACATGTGTGCCCCATCCATGAATGTAGGATCCATGTGGGGCTCATGCGTGCCTCAATGAAATTGATGGTAGAGATGTAAATGCGTGCACGTACCTCAATTGTTGGTGATTCTCCCACCATCACCTCTTTCGTATTGATTTGCTTACTTAATTTAATCCTTTCATACATCTGTGAACTTGATGATTGAAGAATAAAAAACGGAGCTATTCATTTAGCTTATCAGAAATAGGAAAATGCTAGTTAGTTTTATCTTACAACAGTGTTGTTCACCCGCACATTTCTATATTCAGTTCATAATAAATAATGTTTTCCTTAATTTCTTAAGTTTTGTCGTGTTTTTACTTTTCTTGGTTTAATTTAAAGAGTGAACTTCTTAAACTTGTTTTATAATTTCAACTATGTTTCTATGAAAGGCTATTGCTGATGTTGAGAAGGCAATAGTAGAATCTCTAGACAAGCAGTATGCAGATGTCCTGGCACCATTGAAGGAAAATTTGGCACCCAAGAAATTTGGCCTCAAGTATGTTCAAAAACTTGCCAAAAGGTCTGTGAGCTCTTATACCGTCCCTGAAGAGGTTAGTTGATTTTTCCAAATTTTTGGGTTAGATTGAAATACGATTGTTTGTATTTTGAAATTCGATAATTGCATTTCAGTTGGGAGTCCTGTTAAATTCCTTAAAGAGAATGCTTGATGTCCTTCGGCCCCAAATAGAAGTTCAGTTCAAATCATGGGGTTCCTGCATCCCAGATGGTGGAAACACAGTTGCTGGAGAGCGTCTCAGTGAAGTTACTGTGATGTTGAGAGCCAAGTTTAAAAATTACCTACAAGCAGTTGTGGAAAAACTTGCAGAGAATGTGAGTATCATTGTCGTTTGGTGCATTGCTGTTTGAAGTCTTGTGAAAGTGTTGTAAAATTAAAAAGCATATGTTTGGAGAAAAAATAATTGATCTGGAGATCATCTAAAACTGTCAGTCTTGCGGAGAAAGTCTTGTTGAGGGAATACATTAACTGTCAATCTTTCACGAAATAATTAATTGATCTGGAGATCTTCTAAGTATAAATAGATGCATCTGCAGGGACAACGTGTTTGGGATAAATAGTCTTGTTGAGTGAATATAATATAAACTGCCAATCTTTCATAATGTACAGAACGCCTTATTTGTCCTTAAAGAATAATAAAAGCCAGGTAAGGTCTGTCTCATACAGTAGTGTGTATTTATGCATGTTCTGTGTGTGCGTTTATGAGACTAGATTCTCGTGTATAAAGATCTCAGTTGCTGGTACATTAGTGTGTAAAGAGCTGAATAACTGGTGTCCTCTTGGCCAAGAGAAAGAATTACTTGGCTGGCCAAGCTAAAGAATATGGATGCTTTAAAATTTAGTTATTTTGTAAAGGGCCACTGATTTTCATCTTTTATTCCAGACAAAGTTGCAGAGTTCTACAAAACTGAAGAAGATTCTCCAAGATTCAAAAGAAACTGTGGTAGAATCTGATGTGAGAAGCAGAATGCAGCTTTTGAAAGACCAGCTGGCAAATACAGTCAATCACTTACATACAGTGTTTGGGACTCACGTCTTCATTGCAATTTGTCGAGGTTATTGGGACAGAATGGGACAAGTAAGTTCTTCAATCTAGTCTTTCAAGAATCCGGGCAATGGGCTCTCGGCTGATGCCTTTTCTTATCTAATGGAACTCTTTTCTGTTACAGGATGTGCTGAGTTTCTTAGAGAACAGAAAAGAAAATAGATCATGGTATAAGGGTTCACGAATTGCTGTCTCTGTAAGTAGTGGCTGAACCCCTCCAACCTCCCACCTTTTTTTCTTCTGGTTATGGTAGTAGTTTCCCTTCTAATGTGCAACCTTTCTTCGGTTTGCAGATTCTAGACGACACTTTTGCATCACAGATGCAGCAGTTGTTGGGGAATGCACTGCAGGAGAAGGACCTGGAGCCTCCTCGATCCATCATGGAAGTCCGATCAATGCTTTGCAAGGATGCTGCCAATCACAAGGACAACACCTATTACTTTTAGGTGCTTATTGTGTTAAATGAGTGAAGAGGACATGGAATGCATCATCAAGAAAGGTGAATGCTGAACAAGTTGGGGAATGAAAGTGCTGAAAGATCAGCTTTTCAGCCTGCATGTTCAACACCATATTGCTTTAGTTGTCAATGTGTATAAGCCGGGTGCTGCTAATTTTGTAGAGGGAGCAAGCAACTCGGCTGCTCCGGAGTCACAATTCTGCTATGTTCACATATTTATTGCTCAAGATATAGGTGCTGCAAAATTGATTCACATTTTTTTTGTAATTGGCTTAATAGTTTTGGTTTAAGCAGTTTTGTACAACTCTTTTGAATGTGCCGTGAACTCACGCACCGAAAATATTAGATGGTCCACTTTCACAGAGATGATATTATTTAACCCCTCATGCGATGCATCTATTAAAATATATACATTTATTCTTTCATTTGCGCTAGCGACCAAGCAACCTTGAATTCACTTTTGTTCTTATCGCAACAATTTCAATGTATAGAACCTTATACTGTTGACCCAAAAGAAAAAACCCTTACACTAATGGTTTGAAGTTAAATCTTAAACCGATAATTATGTCAGCTTGGTTCATTGGCTATGTTAAGATGCCAGTTAATAGTTAATAGTTAATAGCATTGGCACGACCAAGTTGGATCAAGACCCTGAAAAAAGCAATGGATGCACTTAGGTCAACTGCAATTACAGATTTGGCCAATCATCAGCCACCGACACGTAAAACGTAAAGGCATACCAGGGCAGGGAAGAAAAATTCTGTTTATTGAAGAGAAGTTCCAGAATCAGATTGGATCATAAGCTCTCAAGGCATAACAGCTGAAGCACATACTAGCACAACGGTTTAAAAGAAGGGGCTTCACAACTTAAACGGAGCCCTACAATCCTATAGTGAATGACTGAATACAAGCTTTCATTAAAACTTGACCTAAAAAACCTGCTGAACTTGTGAATGTCAAGATACATGAACAGCAGAAAAATCCGAGCCACTCTTACATTACTTGTATCTCACTTTGTCGAATATGCTCAAAAGCCACGCATTATAGACATTTCAACTATAACTCACTCCTTCACCTCTTACAACCTCACCGATGCGGTAAGCTTTATAAGCTCCATTTCCATCCTCAAGTATCCTGTGGGATGCCTCTTTACTCACAACAAGAACCATCCCAATACCCATGTTAAATGTTCGCATCATCTCAGCGTCTTCTATTCTTCCCGCCTGGTGTTAGAAATAAGTAAAATCAGAAAACAACTACAATCCATAATTTCGAGATGCCTCCTAAAAGACATTCATCCAATATGAAAATTTAAAATTTTAAAATTGGGATGCTGGATGAAAAATATTTTTACCTCTTGGATCCATTTGAAAACGGGTAGGATTTCCCAGGAACCATTAGAGATGACAGCTCCTAGGCCTTTTGGAAACACTCGAGGTATATTGTCTGTGAAACCACCCCCTGTGATGTGGGCTACCCCCTTTACACCTCCCTTGCTGATAATGTCAAGCACCTGTTTTTGGTGCAGGAAAAAATAAGGAGAGGGGAGCATTTTCAGCAGCTAGCAAAACACAAGATAATGAGCATATGCACAAGACAAGGAGATTGGGAAGCAGGATTTAATGTTGACCTGCTTAACGTATATCACAGTTGGGGCCATCAAAGCTTCACCTAATGTAATAGCTTCACCAGGTAGTTGGTCCTTCAGAGATAGCCCACTATGAGCCAGTACCCTGTCAAGATATACCAGTAGGAATTTTGTCATGAGTTTCTAAAGGGTCAGACTGCAAGGAACATTCTTCAAATTAACTGCATCTATTGCATTTAGCATATAATGTTTTCTAAGCAGCACCAACCTTCTTACAAGAGAGAAACCATTAGAATGAACCCCACTGGATGGTAGGCCAATGAGGACATCCCCAGCCACAATGTTTTTCCCATCAATCACTGAATCCTTTTTCACAATTCCCACCGCAAAACCACTGAGGTCATACTCTCCGTCTGCGTAAAAATCTGGCATCTCTGCAGTCTGAAGTAATATATATGCAATTCAGTGAGCCCTACCATATCAAAATATGTACAACATGTGTGTGCAAAAAATAAAAGCGAAGACTATATTTAAACAATTAACTGCAAGAATACACGCTTGATGTATGTCTTCTCCAGATCACAGGACAGTGGCAATTCACAAAACAACAAAATCATTTTAGAATACCTCTCCACCTAATAGAGTACAGTCAGATTGTTGGCAGCCATCGACAATACCTTTTACAACCTAGAAACAATAAAACAAAATTTCAACAAGCTTCAATTAGTGGTATGAATTTACGCAATCAAAGCACGTTTTAGGCACACTGCGACCTCTACCTTTTCAGCAAGATCAACATCAAGCCGGCTGGTAGCAAAGTAATCAAGGAAAAATAGCGGCTTTGCTCCAGAAGTAACAATATCATTGACACTCATAGCAACCTGGGAGTTGAAATTGATCAGAAGAGCAATTTTTATTTATTTATTTAATGACACGTGCACCACATGAAGTTTCACTTGAAACATTAGCATTACCAAATCAATACCAATGGTTTCATGAATTCCAGTATCAAATGCAAGCTTAAGTTTTGTTCCAACACCATCTGTACCAGCAACAAGATATGAATCGCCTGTTCACCAAAAAACTCCATCAGCCCAAGTAAACAAAATTCAAACAAACAGAGCACAACCCAAAATGGGTAACACATATACACAATTAGCTAACAATATATTCAATACCAAGAGGGTAAAGACCCCCAAAGCCTCCAATCCCAGGAGCCATTTTGGCAATTCGTCGAACAAGTTCCGAGCCAGCATCTATATCAACACCAGCATCCTTATACGTCAAACCACCATTTCCACTTGCACTTTCTCCGGACTCGTTCTTCGACAGTGAAAATATGGGTCTGCTGCGGGAAATTTCAGTTGATGGAGCCATAGATAGGCCGGAGAAGGTGTTGGAGAGAGACCCAGATGAGAGTCTGCATAGCTGGGTTTGGCTGGAGTTGGGTTTGGAATAAGAGGGTCTGAGGGAAGAAGCAAAGCAACAAGATAGCTCTGTGTTTGGGTTGACGGAGGTGACCATGGCAGCAAGTGAAAGAGGCCCTGAGGCAATGTTCCACTGACTTGCTGCTGGGTTTTGCCGAGAGTGACGGAGCTGAGAAAGAGAGAGAGAAAGGGGCGGGAATAAAGTAGGAAGCTAGGGTTTTTGTTTATGTAAAAATACGTAAATTGTGTTGCTATTTGAGTGGAACAATTATTAATTTAACTTCTATTTTTAAATAATTATTAGTTTTTTATTTTTAATACAAGTCATACTGTATTGGGGGCAGGGGAGTTGAACCTAGAATAATTATTTTTCGACTAAAATGTCTGTTTGTCATTGCTTATTTGGGGTGATAAATGATTTTTAAAAAAAATTTGGAAAGTCCAACTCATTTGGTAAACTATGAGAAAATCACTTATTGTTAAAAATTATTGTGAGATAAAATTATAAAGGAAAGTAGCTAATTAGATGCTTTCATTCTTCGATTATGCAGAAATCAGTTTTGAAGAGGCGTTGAGTTTAATGATTATAAGGGAATCATTTTCTGATTATGTGGGAATCAGTATCAACACTTTTAACAAAAATTTTATCAAACGCCAAACTGCTTTATCTCACAGCTGCTTTCTCTCAAGCTATAGATAATTATTACATATGAATTTGTAATACCAAATCAATACCGATGGGGGAGAGATAGAACTCGATATTCTAACCTTTAAAATATTGTTTTATTTATTTATTTATTTTACATATGAATTAGTTCGTATTTGCAATTGTTTTTTTTTTTCATGACACAGGAAACAGGCACTTAAGCTGTTCATCGATTTTGAACCAATTCATTTTAGGGATAATTCAAACGGTCCAATTAAAGTTTTTGGTTTTTACACAAGAAAAAGGCACCTTTATTTTTGTTTTTTCTGATAATCTGCTGCATATAATATTGCTTGAACAAAGAGAAGTCTTTTCTCAAACCAAAGTCGACAGAATTCCAAACCAAATGAAAACACGTTTGAAGAAACGTAGATTGAGGACATTTAGATGCTTTATGAGGTTTAACTTAAATGGTATCTTTTGTTTGACTTTCTTCTACATGTGAAAGATTGGAAGCAACACAAATTTTTTTGAATCTTGTTATGAGAAAGTGTGCTAAATGCGATCTGAAGTTCGAGTTCTGGCAAACATGCATCTTGTGCTCACCAGTATTGGTGAAATTAAACTGCAGTCATGAGGGAACGAAAGCATTTCGATGCTATGTTACATAAATTTGAATTGCACTCTCCAACCAGAAGAAAATATTTACAAGATTAAATTTGATCAAGGAATCAAGCCATCTGTAGCAGGAAAAGAATTGCAGTAATGTTACAGAATTTTGGGAACACGGACGAAGCAGAGTCAGCAGTTCAAAGCACCAAATACAACAAGCAAAGTCTGAGCACTAATAACCCTATCCCCAGCAGCACACACAAATTAGAGAAGCTTTGATATAACTTGACAAGATGTCCAGAAGGCTTTCGTGGCGGCCCTTATTATTACAGGGTTTTGGTATATCCTGTGAATAATGAAAAACATTAGAGGTCGAAGTACAGTATAAATGTAAATTAAGACTGAGACAATGATTGATGTATACATGAATTCTAATTATAAATTCGGCAAGCAACATGACTAGATTACGTTAGTGATCAAAGACACGCTGCACAATGATGGCGGGAAACTTTAAAACCATCAGATTAGGTAACATTAGATTTAAGTAAACTACCCGATGGCGGTTGCCCCCCATGATGCTACATTATAAATGACTTTGCTTCCATCCCAAGCCTTTCGAAGTTTTCCCTTCTTCTTTCTCACTGAGAATGTTTTGCTAAGGGCTACATAAGAAATAGGAAATGTAAGATTCCATTCCTAAAATGTGGGAAACAAACTTGGTCAAATAAAGCACAAAATGCACACAGAACAGATTTGAAGTTAAGAGAATTTTTCAATTTCTCTTCAAACTTAGGAAGCAACATAAAAACAAGTATCAGACTCACCATCCTGAAGTTGATTAGGGGTCAATTCCTGAAAATCACACAGCAATCAATTAAAAAGAGTCAATACATCATATCTACTACATAATCCAATTTGGTGTATAAACCATGCTCAAACAACAAGAAAGGCCGCATATGCACAATCTGTTCAAATTGTTTGACAATCATAGAAAGAAATTGTCCACATGTCAACTAGACATGTTAAAAATGCCAACACTAGTGCTAATGTGTAATGGTTCATCACAATAAATTCAATGGTTCCACCTCTTAATCTACTTGCATTGCTCTGCGCAGTTAATGATAGATGTAAATACTGGGAGCGAGAGAAGATGGTAAACTATGAATGCAGTGAAAGCCTGATCTCTTAAGGTCTGTCATGATCATTAGGTCATACATCAAATACCTACCTTATAAAAGAATACCAAAATAGACTAAAAACAAAAGTTCTAAAGAACTCTCACTAAGCAAACTATTATTTTATGGGACTCCTATCAGGGAAAAAAACAATTCTTTGCAGGATGATGTTGGGCTTTAAAGCAAAAGCAAGAGCAACATACCCTCCTAACAGAGATGAGAACATTAAGAAGACAAATGATAAGAATGGGAATGCTAAGATGATGAGTAATACGAATGACCAGAAAAGATCAAATTAAAAATATATGTATAAGAGACAGATTAAGAGTGGAACCTATTAATTGTAAAGTACAAGAAGCTAGCCTATGTATTAGCAACACATCCATGTAACATAGAGAATAATGCTACATTGAGAGTGCCATGTATGAGTAATAAGATACAAGAAACAAGGCTAATGCATAGGTGCTCTCATAACAAAAGGAAGACCAGTAATACAAAAGGATATGAACGTACTACATGCCCACGTATTGGCCATGCAGGTTATCGCTAAATATTAGAATAGGATGAAACTAGCACCAATAGTAGGGCCAAACTTTTCAATTGGCATAATTCATGTTTAACCATAACATACTGCATCACAAAAATCCACCAAGCAGGATAGACCTGTTTTTGTTTTGTTCATTTGGTTTGTAGAAAAGTAACTGGATATGGCTAAACACACAATATTCTGGTAGACAGTCATGTTGGGGTAAGTTTCTATATATGCGTCGATCATAGTTGTGGTAGTATAAAATCAAATGAAGTCTAATAAAATTATGTTGAGCAGAGTTTCAGGGTACCTTAGTCTGTTTAAGGGATAACAGGTATGCAGCCATAAAGCATGCAATACCCTCTACTATATCTTCTTGCCTAACAAGAACATAGTCTTCTTCACCCAAGTCGCTATCCTCATCTTCCCATAGATCATTCTCATTAACCAAATCCCAAGAACTACCTTCTTCTGCTGCCATACAAGAATAGTTTAGCACGGCACCATATAGAGAACATAGTCAAGAAGAAGTCTAAAAAGTCTAATCTTCATAATGCAGAAGACATATCACATGGTTATAAAATTTCATTCTGACCATATTCAGATGCATACCAGCCATATTTTGGGAAACTGATGATGCTTGCGCGCATTCTAGCTTTTCAAGGAAGTCGGGACATTCAACTCTAGATTTTAGAAGATTGCATAACTGCATCCAAATGCAAATGACTTGTGAGTTAGAATATGGAAAGCTTTGATAACAAGTAGTACAGTGTCTCCCCTTTATTCATCATTACAATTCAATCGAAAAAGCAAAGTCAGCAATATAAGGTTTCACTTGGGATTAGACTCAAGGTACCATCAGAAGTGAAATCTGAAATTTTTATTCCTACAAAAAGACATTATGCTGTGAGCTTAGGGGAATCAGTCTACCGCCACAAAGAAACCAGAGAACATATTGGTTAGGCATTATATGGTTTTACTGAGCTAGTCGAAGCAATTGTGTTGATCATATAAAAAGCTTAATCCTTTAACCTTAAAAGCAACACTCCACACAATTGTCAAGCTCAACAATTGCCATTAATCATACTAATAAAGTACACGATTCACCATTAATTATTGATTAAACCCTTAACAGCTCAATTGCTCTTTGCTTAAACATTTAGGAGAATAGCGTCTTTTAAAAAACCCTTAATCCCAATCTCAATCATTTAACCAAAATTTAACATTTTCCAGTATTCAATCAAAAAGTTCCAAAATCCCCAAAACACCAGAATTCAATCAAAATCGAACCCTAAAATTGAGCTCAAACCCCACACGGAACCCCAATCCATACCTCGTCGGCTTCGCAGTCAGGACGCGAACTCGTCGATCTGCGGCCTTGCTGGCGCTCATCGTCATCGACAGCACCACGAGAACTGTTATCATCATCATCGTCTTCATCCTCACCGTTATCATCTCCATCGCTGTCGCCGTCAGCACCCCCAGTGGTATCGAGCGACTCGAGGGCTCTCTGGCACTGCTCGAGAACAGCCTGCAGAGTTTTCCGCTTCACGCGGAGCTTATCCTTCTGCGAATCCGCTCTCCTCAATTTCGCATCGGCCGAGGGATTCGAACCGGAGACCTCGACCTCCATCCCCAGAACAGAAAGCAAGCTCCGAAAGCCTTGAAGTTTGTTATGCGATCGCCGACGAAGAAGGCCTGAGAAGGATTGAGGGTTTTTTCGAAGAGAAGAATTATTGGGGTGGGTTTTCTTCTGCTTCTGCTTCTGCTGATGTTGTTGCTGAAATGCAACAACATGAGATTGATTAATGGTGTTTTTTTATTTTTGTTTTGTTGGGTTGTGTTTTTGTTTTAATAATAAAAGTGGTTTAATTAGTGTTATGATTGAATTTGGATTTGGATGGTTGGGTTGCGGGTGGGATTGGATTTTGGAAGGGAAGAAGGACTAAATTCTAACATACACTGTTGGGCTGTTTGGTTCCGTGGAAAAGAATATCTCCCACTTACCCAGAATGACGGAACCGTTTGTTTGTTTTCTCAATTATATTATTATTCTTTGGTTTTTGAGGTTTTCTATTCCTTAAGTTATCTATCTCTCTTGCTGTACTAGGTTAACCCAACTCTAATCAAATATAGCCATGTGATGTATGTCACAATATCAATAGATTATGATTAATATGTACCCTAATAGAGAATGATCAACTCATTGATCTAGGGCTGCACACGGGTCGGGTCGGATCGGTTATGGGCCCAAATCGTACACCGAATCGGGCCATGTCGGCAGGCCCAAATGGCAAACTGCACACCTGTTTCTTAAGCCCATTTTCGAGTTAAATCGAAACCCGAATTAGGCGGGCCGGTTTGGTTCGGTTTGGATGTCTGCCGAGGCCCAACAAAAAGCAACAATTAAAGCTTCTTTTTTTTTAAGTTTTCCAGGCCCATTCTCCTTTTTTGTTAAGATTTCGAGGCCCATTCTCCTTTTTGGGTCAGATTTCCAGGCCCATTCTTCTTTTTTAGTCAGATTTCCAGGCCAATTCAAATTTTAGGGTTCCTTACGTTTTTCCAGGTTGTTTAATTTTGCATATTTAAAGGACTTGGGAAAGCTAAGGATTGTGGGCTTTGTTGAATAGAGGAACATGCACTCATATTTGTTGGAGTGCCTGCAATTTCCATTGGAGATGGCTTGCATCCCTGTATCCAAAATAAAATAGACATTTAAAACAAAAAATTAAACAAGTAAAATATGAATGAAAAAAATGGATTAACAGAAAGCTAAATAATAATAAAAAGTCTGCTTGGAAAATTAGGGTCTTTTGTTCAAATAACAATTGGATTTCAACAAATTAGTATTTGAAGCAGGGTAAAGTGATGACCTGCTGGATACAGATCTCACCCACAATTAAAAAAACAAAATTGCATGACCAAATCACAACCTTTTCATCCTTAACTATCAACAAATCATAACCTTTTTTTTTTAAGTAACAAAATCTAGTGAGAGACGAAAAGAGAAAAAACCGTTTCAATATAGTCCAGATCCTAGCTCATAGCAATACCAGAACAGAGAAACAGATATGCAACATGCATGTGCTATTATTCAATTACAGAGAAAACAAAAATAAAAGGGGGTTTTTGCATTTGTGGAACAGATTAATTTGGGAAAAAATATAAAAATCTTTCAAACAATTAAAATTTTCTACAATGATAATCCAAGATCAAAATCCAACAGGGATATAGCAAGAAGGCAAGGATTTACGGATTCAACATGATGTGCATGCAGATCTATGAACACGAAAAGCAAAGCCCAATCTAAAAAAGAGCTGATTCAGCTGAATCTGAATAACAAGGACACCAGAAATTACAATAATTTATGTCCCAAAATCAATTCTATAATCCTACATATTACCATAAATTACAACAACACCA